GAGGATCTTGATGAGACGCTGGAGGTGGAAGGCGCGGCCTTGGAGGAGGGATTGGTTTGTTGTGTTGCGCTCGAGCGCGGGGATGATGCCTGCTGAGATGTTCTCCATGGAGACTTGGTCGTCTTTTTCTTTCGGTGCGGCGTTCTTGTCTTTTGAGGAGCGGATGTTGCCGACGGAGGAATCGGTCGAGTTCCAGTATTGGCTTGTGACGCCCCACCAAGGTTCGGAGATGCGTTGCCAGATGTACATGTCAGGGTTATAGGCGTAGCCCTCGCCGTTGGACATGGCGACTGTGATGCGGCCGGCTGAGTTGAGACGTGCGAAGACGATGCCGGGGGACCGGGTGAGGTGGGGTCCTTGGGCGTAGGCTGCGACATCCAGGATGGGTGCCAAGGAGATGGGTGGGTGGGGTGCAGACATCGTCTTGAGATTCCACACGTAGCACATGCCGACTGCTGTTATGCACATTAGCCACCAGCCGCGGCAGTCCATGATCACTGGTTGGGCTTCTAAAACCATGGCGTTGAGCGTCCGTCGGCCGGCTGGCGTCCATGCGTATACTGATCCGTCCTCGCATGCTGCTGCGAATAAGTTTGTGTTGCCAGTCACTAGGAGCACGGCCTTTGGTAAGAAGTCTTGCCAAAGTGACTGTCCTTTGCTTGTACATGTCAACCGCGTAGGGTCGTGATCTTGTGGCCGTCCTGTCCGCGATGGTCCGCTGGCGTTGCGCGCTTCTAGAACGACCGTGTCTGGTATTTCCGCTTTGCCTGTGTTGGCATCGACACCACTCTGCGGTGGCTCGCTGCCGTCCATAGTTCGCACGATGACGCTTCTCACTTTCGGCACGGCTAACCGCACTTGAGCGAGCGCCATGGAAGGGTTGACGATGGCCGGTCTTAGTACTTTTGGAGGCTCTGTCATTTCGTTGTTCTTAGCAGCTGCAGCAGCGGGAGGGACAAGACCATTTTCACTGTTTATCACGATTGCTGCGCCTCCAGGTTTCACCGAACCAGCCAGTCTTTTCTCCACTTGCCGGTCCTCGTCGCCTTCGATCTCGGCGAATTTCCGCTTGTTCCCGATCAGCATGGATGCAAGTCCGCCTCTCGGGAAACCATCGTAGGGCTTTGAAAGGTCCAGAATGTTGTGGGGATTGTCACTCCTGCCGCCTGACGTTGTCGTCGCAGAAAGGAGCTGTGTTTGAGGTAACGAAGACTCGCCAACACCAGACGAGGATGACATTAGCATAGGTGCTATACGCTTCTTGCCATCCTTGGTGACTGTCACTCTTTGCTTGAGCTTCTCAACCCTCACGTCTGGGGGTGGCTCAGCCGGGGCCTGTGGTGGTGCTGCGGCGGCCGATCCGTTGGTGAGGGTTGTCGAGGGAGTGACGCCGTTGGTGCCGTTCGTGATGGTCGGTGGTTGAACTGCACCTCCATCGCCCATCAGTGCACCCATCCTGCCTTGAACACCCTTCAGCTCCCCACTCTTACTACTCTCTTCCAGAAGTAGCGCGTCTGTGCCCTCAATAATTCCAACTCTTCTACCGGCACCGAACTTAGCGAGTGTCTTTTCGTTCTCCGCAAACGTTGCTGGGTAGCCGAGTTCTCCGGGTTCGAAAACAAGAGTCATTATGCTGCCGTCCAAGCTCGTTGCGTATAGCGTCTCTCCGTTTGGTGACCATGCCAAGTCGGAGATGGATTTGCTAGCCAACTCTTGCGAGCACATGAACGGCCTGGGGAAGCTCGTATTCCACACACTCAGGCATTTGTCTTGTCCGGCGCAAGCGACAATAGTAACCGTCTGTTGGTTAATGGTTCCGTCTTTCTCTGGCCGTGGCTCATCCCGGTAAAATAGCCTTGGGGAGAAGGAGGTCACTTCAACAGGCCCTTCGTGGCCGACCAGACTGATATCTCCATCCCACGTTCCACGCGCAAGAATAGCGACGGAGCTGACTGGTCCATTTGTAGCGTTTGCAGCAGCGATGTGTGCGCCGTCGGGTGACCACGAGCAGCGGCGGAAGTATGTGGTGAGCGGGGAGGTTTGGAAGGGTGCGGTTATGGTGTGGTCCAGGACGAAGTTGTTGACCTGGTCTTGCTGCGAGGCGTTCGGGGGCGGGGAGTTGAATCGGTAGACTTTGATGGTGCGGTCATCGCTAGCGGTAGCGAAGTATTTGTTGGCGGGGTCAAATGTTATGCCCTTGACGTGACTCTGGTGGTTTGATAGCGTCTTCAGCTTCTCAAAGGAATGCCCAGACCAGACTACCACTTTCGAGTCCAACCCCACCGACACCAATATTGACGAGTCAAATGACCAGCCTAGATCTTGTACGTCGTTGTCGTGTCCGATCAGGCGACGAATGACGCGCCAATTCTCGACGGGCGGCGGTTCGTTCGATCCTGTAATTCTATCAGCCTACGTCCCTTGTACCTGCCTAACGTATACCCACCAAATGCCGTATGCGTCGGCGCATTCTTGTCGAGCGCATAGACACACACTATCTTGTCGTCTGCGCCAGACGCCAGGTATTTGCCGTTGGAAGAGAAGCGAACCGCATGGATGGTGCCGGAGTGGTTGCTGACAGCCGCAAGCTGCTTCGGCTTCGTATACGAGGGGTCGTTGGAATTCAGGATGGCCTCGGTAGACCAGACACGTACGTAGCCGTCTATAGATGCGTGTTAGCAATATTCTGAGGTGCAGCGCATCGCGTGGGAATCGAGGGTGGGTTGACGAACCTCCGGCGGCCGTGGCCAGGCGCGATCCATCAGGGGAAACGTGGCAGCTGTATACTTCAAAGTCTTTCTGTTCGCCTAGTAGGAATGCATGTCAGTAAGATGCTAGCAGAAAAGGGCATGTGTGCGCGGGTGCACCCACCGGGATGAGTTAACCACTGTGGTTTAATGAGATGCATGGTCGCGTGTGTGTCGCTAGCAGTTGAATCATGCTATTACGCGACCATGAAAGTAGTATGAGGAGTATTGGGTGCGGCGGTGGAGGGTTGGTGGTTGAGGCGCACGTTGTGGTGCAGCGCGACAGTTGTCTGGTGTTGGCGACGCGATCTCGCGGTTGACGCTACTTGGCAGACGTTTGGGCAGGGGTTTAAGGTTTAGGTGCATGCGCCGATCGGGTAGTGGATGTTAAACGAACAGCTCACGGTTGGAGGGAATCAAGCATCAAGTGTATTTGGAGTATGGCATGTGTTTGTGATAATACAGTGAACTTGGTGTTCCTTCACCTTAGTCTGTCTAGTTCCCTGGGAGGCAGCCCTGGCTAAGTCTCAAGTCCTACTTGCACTCTCCGCTCCGCCATTGGTTGCTCCTTCACAAAGACACCTGGAAACAGTACTACACTAGCTACATGCAGCTCTTCCATGATCCGATTCTTCATCCGGGTAGTCATTTGGACCCTTGTAGTAGATAGTCATGAGATCCTGCTGCATGCACATGCCCATCCTCACCAGCAAAACCCATTCCAAGTTTCCCCGGGCTTATTGCGAAAGCCCACTCTCGACTGTAGTCGAAGTTGGAGCTGATCTAGGCGAGGTCCGGGACGAGATGGGTAGCAGCGTGAGCGGTTGGTGCAGTTGTTGTGGGGCTTGTCGCTGGTGATGTTGTTCATTTCGCCTTCTTCCTCTTCTTGAACACCACAGCCGGAGCAGCTGGCGCATGCTCTTCCCTCTTGACGATAGTCTCGGCAGCCTTAGTCTCCGCCTCCTCGGCCGTAGGTATATCCTGAAGGGTGTTCGTGCCGCTGTCATCTTCAACTTCGGCTTTCACTCCATCCTCTTGGTCTTCTTTCTTCACTTCGGTTTGTGGCTTCTTCTTGCCAAGCAAACTCTCGATATCGTCGTCGCCGCCTTTGCTGCCTGGGAAACTCTTGTAGGTATGTCCCCAGCCCTTCCGTTTCGTGATCAGCTCACCAGCGGCCTCCCGCTCCTCTTCATCCTCGTCAAGCTGCCTCTTCCGTACGCCCTTGTTTAACGACGACGCCTTGAACTCTCCATCTTCCGTCACCTCTCCCACAACTTCTTCCTTGACCGTCTTCCATTCACCTGCTATCGCCATATCGCCTCTTGCGGCCGCAGGAAGCGCCACACCCATGGCTGCCAACTGCTCCCATTGTCGTTTCCGGTCATCTACTGTCGCCTTCTGTTGTGGTTTCTTCTCATATGTAGGTTTGCCGCCTACGCCGGTTGCGACGGACGGGGTCGATGCGGATGGTACGAGGCCATTTAGACGTGCGACCTCTGCTTGTGCGCGCGCCTGATTGCGCTTTTCGTTCTCTTGCTCGCGATGGAGTCCCTTGAGACTGCGCTGGATGTTGCCTTGGTGGCGGCCGGTCGCTTCGTGTTGCGCGCGTTCGAATTTGGTGTCCTTCACAAAGGTGGAGCAGAACTTGCACCAGTATTTGGGCTGTGATATAATTAGCACTTGACGCGCTTATCAGGCATAGTCTTACTTACTGTTGATTTCCAGTACTCGGCCATATTCGAGTGTCGTGGAGTGACGTGCAATCAGCGACAGTCGGGAAAGCTTACCTGGCGCACGGTGCACCTCGGCGGTCCGCAACGCTAGAAAAGACGAGTTCGCATAGCGTGAACCACGGCTGCGGGTCTTTCACCGCTCTCCACCCCCAAACTCTAATCGCTCTTCACATGTCTTCTAGCTTGTTTCCTTCTTGGTCACAGTTCTCGACTCGAGTTTCCATATCCAGCAGGCCATGCCCCCACCATCAGATCCTTGCACGTCATTGAGATGACTAAAAAGAGCATGGATATACTTGATGGACACCGGGTAGCAGCAGAAAGCAAGCCCTTATTATCATCACGTCCTTCCTACGTACTTACTGGTCGACTACACCAACATGGCTGAGCTAAAGGATGCCAGACACCTTAGCGAAGCGCGTGAACACAATCGTCTGCCGCCTTAGCCGTCATTCTCTATCCTGCCTGATCGCATACACAATGTCGCTCTGTAACACCTCGCACTTCTCTGGAGCCTCAGATGGCTGTGTCACTGGCTTCAGCTGTCATACAACTTGTCGAATTTTCGAGGAAAGTCGTTCAAAAAGACAAAGTGGGCAAAGTATACAAATCCACCGGCACCACCCTAGGAGAGGCTACACTGCTCGATGACGCCATCGTTAATCTCGGCGACTTATCACAACAACTTGAGAAGGCACGACGCGTATATTACAAGTCACATATATCCCCTGATCAGGAAATCGCAGATGCGCAACTGATGGCATTGGCGAAGGATGGTGGGGGAGTGGCGAAGATCTTACAGGCCACACTGGATCAAGCGAAGCGCGACGATGACGTGAACGAGGAGACGGTACTTGCACAAGGACTACGCAGCGTTCTGAGTTTGTACTACAGTCAGAAGACGATATGTGATCTTGCGGATAAACTTGGCTCCATTCGCAAGCAAGTAGATGTCGCTCTGCTTGCCTCGCTCCGGTCAGTGAGATGTCACCAATGCGATCACACATTGACCCAGATCATAGACAGCATGCGGCTCAACATCATTCACTTCATTTGGAGAGAAAGCTGTTTCCGGTGGATGGAAGTACAGGACCTGATATACTTCTACTCCAGTCCATCGCGCATCACGATCGGAAAATTACGGAGACGGTCGATGTCTCGGCATTTTCAGACACATTTGAGAACTGCGTCGTAAGCAATGATATGGAAGGCCGTTTCGCCAGCTTGATGTTGGCGCGCTTGCATTTCACTGGCATGCACGATCGGTACAAGGCGATTCCTATTGCGCACCCAGGAACCTCGCGATGGATATTTGATGCAAGTCCCGAACAGCCCAACACTGATGACTTTGACTCCTTTCCTCGGTGGCTCGCAGCAACAGGGTCTAGCAATGCATATTGGATCAGTGGGAAGCCGGGTACTGGGAAGAGCACGCTGATGAAGTTCGTGTCTAGTCACCGTTGCACTACCGCTCACCTGCGCGCCTGGGCAAAAGGAAGAAAACTCGTCAAAGGGAGCTTCTTCTTGTCTAGTCTGGGCACCGACATGCAAAAGTCGCGTATGGGGCTTCTACAAGCCTTGCTTCACTCTGCGCTCAAAGGCGACATGGAAATCCTGATCCAGGTCTTTCGTCATCGCTGGCAACAATTCCTTGCTTCTGGTGGAGGACGACAACCTTTCACATGGCTTGAGCTGCGTCAGGCCTTTATAACAATGATCTCCACGCCTAGCACACCAACATCGTTCTTCTTCGCAATCGATGGCCTAGACGAACTCGACGGCGGCCTGAAAGACATTCTTCAATTAATCAAAGATATAGCCAAATATCCAAATGTCAAGGTTTGCATTGCCAGTCGGTCGTCGCCAGAGCTTCTTCGCGCATGGGCAGGCCAGCCTAATCTACGCCCTGAACGTTTGAATCGCCAGGATATCTGCAACTACGTCACGGCCTCCCTGGCAACGTCGCAAGCATACGTCAAGCTCAGCAACACGGATCCTACTCGCGCTACGGAACTGGTCAAAGGTATAGCTAAGAAGGCAGCTGGCGTTTTTCTTTGGGCATACATCGTGGCGCAATTGTTGCTAGATGGTCTATCACCAACAGCCCGCATGAGCAGTCTCATTGCTCGGCTCGAGACAATGCCATCTGGACTAGAGCAACTGTTCACCAAACTCCTTGGACGTCTGGACACCAAGCATCTCGAGCACGCGTCGCAACTCCTTCGTCTGATGACGATAAAATCACGGCCCCTCCTTCTCGAGCTATGGTTTGCAGACGGGAAAAACGACGACGCGGCATTGAGGAACGAAGCCCGATTGCTGTCAGACAATGACATATTCGAGCGTCTCGAAATGATGAATCGTCGACTGAATTCCCGATGCAGAGGCTTTCTAGAGACAGATAGCCAGTACGGAAGTGCAGGGTCTGGATTGTCAAAGGGTGGGTTGAAGTTCCATTACAGATCTGGTTATAGCTAACCACTTTTAGCGTCTCGCGTTACCTGGACACACCGCATTGCGAAAGACTTTGTCCGGTCTCAACGAATATGGAACATCATACTCGATAACACCGGGCATGATGCTTTCGATCCTGAATGGCACTGGGCCAACGGTCAACTAGGTCTATTCAAGACCGTTGCCGGGACCACCAGCACGAAGACCTCTCACTTCCTATCTTGCCTCGAGTACGCACTGCGACTAGAACATCGGCTCAATATCTGCCCAGTCAAGTTTCTAGATGAAGTCGGCCGTACCACAACAATATACGCGACTATATACGACGATATCGTGCCTCGGAAACTCAAAGGCACTATCAACAGCTTCCTGGAGTTCGCTATACTGTTCAATCTCGTAGGCTACGTCCGTGGCAGAGGCCCAACGCTATCGAGAGAGGAGTTGTTACATGCTTCTCGCTTGCTAGGCGCGCTGGACGCAAAGAAGTGGGAAGTGTTTGTAAAGCGTTTTGACCACCCTGGGATCTGGAGTATGGAGTTTGAAGAAAGAAAAAAGGACATGCGACAGGTGATGGACGGCTTGCTTGATCGCGGGGGCGGTGAGTCAAGATGGCAGAGAGCGAGGAAGCGACTATCTGGGCAGAAGAGGACGTGAGTTGTTATGTGTCGCGTTCGAATCAGCTTTTTGGGAATGATGGGGCGAATTCTACTGGGGCGATCGTGTTACATCATTCATGACCATGAGTTGGGATTGGTATCATCGCATCGCAGCGTATGCTTACAGTACAAATTCCCCCGCCACGACCTTACAACACCTGCCACGGCATCAACAACCATCTTTCACACACATTACCTCACTCCATCTTCGGCGCACTCAAGTTCAAGTCCTCGTACTCCGGCAACTCCCACCTCTTCTCCTTCCCCTCCGGCACCCATCCCGCAAGCCACCCCAGCACCTTGTCCACCCGCATCGTCGAAATCGACCAAAGCACCCAGCCCACGACCCAAACTCCCCATGCCGACTCCGGAAAGAACCTCCATTCCTTCACCAACGGCCCCAGTTCCTGACACTCCTCAACCGGCTGCTTCATCACCTCTTGATACGCTTCCAGCGCCGCGTCGACATCACTGCCACACCGCGCCAGCTCCCCAGCGAGGATATACGCGCCGATAAGTGATAGCGTTGTGCCCATGCCTGTGAAAGCAGAGGGACAGTACCCCGCGTCTCCGAGTAAGACAACCCGGTCTTTATACAATTGCCCAGCTGGCATCTTAACCTGTCCAATTTCCGTAGCGTAGAAATCCTTCACATCCTCCAACCCCTTCAGAAACCGCGGACACTCCCACCCCGCATCACCATACTCCTCGCTCCAAATAGCCTTCTGCTCATCCAATGGCTTCTTATACGTACCCCTCATGCGACTCGCCCGCTCCTCACGGTTGTTCAGAAGGAAGAGGTAGACTTGTGTGACGGGACGGTCGCCCGTGCGCGTCATCACCATGCGGTTCTGCGGACCGAAGTAGATACGCGCGAGACTGTTTTCCGTGGGCAGGCGCGGGACGTTGTAGTACGCGGCGTGGATATTTAGGGATTTGAAGGACGCGTCACTGGTTTCCTGACCGAAGGCGAGACGCCGGGTCCGTGAGGATTGGCCGTCTGCAGCGATGACGAGGTCGAATTTCGATGTCGAACCCGTGGAGAAAGTCACTGTCGTTGTCTTTGTCGATGGATCTGGTGAGAGTGCAGTAACAGTCGTATCGAAGACATACTTCAGACTACCACTGTAGCCTTGTTCATCCAGTGTTTCGCGCTCCTTCAAACTAGTATCATAAACCAACCTCACAAAATCCCCCCTCATAAACTCAAACTCGTTCGTCAGCGTCCTTCCTGGGTTCTCCCCCGCAGCCGTCACACCAAACTGCATCAAGCTCTTGCCGTTTCCGTCAATAAATTCCAGGCCGCTCTCGTGGACACAGTAGGGCCGGAGTGTTTCGAGGAGACCCAGTTTGGTCATGATGGGGATGCCGTGCGCTTTTAGGTCGATTTGCTGGCCGCCTGTGCGGAGGGAGGGGTAGCGTTCTAGGATTGTGATGGTGTGGGTGGGGTTGCTGCGTTGGAGGATGAGGGCGAGGAGGGGGCCGCAGACGCCGGCGCCGGTGATGAGGATATTTAGGGGTTTGGGGGTTGTCATGTTTGCGGTGGTGTTTGTAGGTATGAAATAGTATGCAGTAACCTTAAAAGACAGCAACGTCAGCTGAATCTCAACCGGATCTCTCCTTCCAGGCGTATTCGTTTTTATATTCATGTTGCTACAAAAAGCCGGCGCAGTACGATGCTCCTCCGAACGGCATGCTCGCACATTTGGGCGGAGACCGTGTTCTCCGAGCTCTTCTCCGAACGCTGTTAACCCGGACATAAAAGGTGATAACCGTTAGGGATCCAATGGCGGACCGATTTGGACTGTTGCCTTGGCATCCTTGCTGACTCTGCTGCAGTCTGCGTCAGCGCGCATGAGTGTCTGTACGCCGTTTGTCGCTCAACGAAGAAGGATATGTGCCTTTTGAAGACTGTAGCCTAGATGACGTACTACGGTTCACATTGTAATGCTGTTGAAGGTCACGGGCGTTGTTGAACAAGAGTAGTTGATAGTTGACAGGATGAACGTCGTGATGATGCAGACTTCAGGGTCTGCGGGCGGATCACCTGTCGGCGCCAAGCAAAAGTGAAGCTCGTCGCTTCGCATCACCAACACCGACCTCCACCAACCTACCCGCCTTCTGCGCTACATCGACACACAAGTCACCAGACCCTGTACATACCAACTTACAGCCGGTTATCGCCGACGTTAGACTCTCGAAAAGTCAACAATCCGCACACGGTCCACCAAACCTCGCAATGGCCATCCTAGGGACGGCCCTCAACGGCATCGGCGCGCTCTTCCTCACACATGCGTACGTATATACGTAGCTCATCGGCTGATCCTCAAACAGAGGGTCACATGAGCGTCATCACACACTCGCTACGACCAACTAACCCCGCCCAGCGTCTACTCGACCCACGAACACACCGCAACCTTCGCATCCACGCCCCTCCCCCTCGACATCTCGCTCGAACTCCTCACCTCCATTCTCATCCTCTCCCTTGGCATCGTCATATCGTTTGCGCCGCTGAAGCCAATACAATACGCACAATGGGCGGGCCAGATTTCGCGGGAAGGACGACACGGCGAGGGCTACTACACAAAAGAAGGTGAAGAGGTTTTGAGTGAGGGTGATCCGTATGCGTTTTTGGGTCTGGATGGCGGGATTGGTGGGAAGGGGGAGGGGAGGAAGGGGTTCTGGGATGTTAAGGGGAAGAGGAAGGAGTATGAGGAGTGGGTTAGACAGGGTGGGAAACAGTAGATGGAAAAGGACAGCGGGGGAGATTTGGGTTGAAGAAGTCCAGCGGATGGGCGTGGTACACTGGTAACGCGCACCGGTGGTGTGCTTGGGCATGCATATCGTCACGAAGCGTCATACCCAGTACGAAAGACGATTGTGTGTCGACCACCGCTATGCCTATCATACATCGCCCGAATGCCCAATTTCCGATGCCCCATACCCTGTGTCCCGAATATCCAAAAACCCAGACGCCATGCTTGAACGAGCAAAACCAGCAATCCCAATCAATCTGTTCCTTCAAGCTATTGCCTTTCAACCCTTTCCTCACGCCTCGCTCGTCATCTTCTCAACCTGATTCCCTCCACACCCATTCACCCTACAAGCCCAACACTCCTTCCCCTCCATCTCCTCGCCAATAGCCGCAACATCCGCACTCTTCCTCCTCGGCCCCTCCACATCCCCATTGACATCAACACCACTAACCCACCAGATCCCCGCCGCAATAACCTTGGCCACAACCTCCACCTCTGCCTCATCCCTAGGCGCATAAACCAGCATGAACTCCCTCGGAACAAACTTCCTACACCAACCCCCCCTCGCAAGCGGATGTCTCTCACCCCACCCCATCTCAATCAACAGATTCGCATCCGCAGGATGCAACGTCATATGCATCGACCCATCACTAGGATGCGCATGACAAATCTCGCCTCCACACGTCCTCGTAATCGGCACACTGGTAAACAACCCCGAACTATGCTTCTCAAAGCAACTCGTACGTTCCAACAACCTATTCCCCGGATCCGCCGCAAGACCCTTGATCTTGGCTACCAAGCACCCATAAACCGCCTGCCCGCTCTTTTGCGTCTGCTGTCTCTGCGGCGCGATACCGCGGATAAGCGGTTTTGTGCCTTTGCGAGTGGGTAGCGAGGAGGGCGTGAAGTAGCCTTTTTGCGGACGGAAGTGTGGGGGGATGGCGATGGGGCGGAGGGGGTCGCGCAGGCAGATTAGAGAGAGGAGTTTGATTTTTAGGTAGCCGAGGGGGGTTGCTGGGGTGCCGCCGGGGCCGAGGGAGAGGAAGGCGCGGTAGTCTTTGTGGATGTAGAGGGCTGTTAGGGTGGGGAGGAGGAGGGCGAGCGTGGCGATGAGCATGTGGAGGTGGGTTTCTGTGAACATGCTTGGGTGGGGTGGTGGTATGGTTGGTTCGTAGGATGGGTGTAGGGTTGTGGTGGTGAGGTTGCGCGGATCGACCATGTTGTATGTCCAGGTGATGTTTTTGGATGGTCGTCCTGGAGGTAATTGAAGACGTGGAAATTGAACAAAGAAAGCAGGAACAAGTTTGCTGACACTCCTCTTATGCCTTCCTTCTCAACAAGACAAGAGGAACAAGAACCGCGGAAGGTACAATAGCTCCGTGGCCCCAGTAAAGAAAGGAAGATCAGCCCCACACGTGCACTGCAGGAAGGAAGGTCGGTGAGTACCACGCGAGACTCAGGGTCCGCGGGACCTAAGAAGGGATGACGTTGAATTGATACAACAAACAAAGCTACCCACTCAGATAACCAAACGGAAAGCCTCGACACAGTAGAAATCCAGAAGCAGAAGCCTAAAAGCCCCAAGTACCAGCTCATCAACGCAACCACGAGCACACACACCCCTTCTTATAATCTCAAAAAGCCACGCCAGCAAACCAACGCAGCAACCATAGCGACCGACCGACCGACCGACGTCAACCCCGTGGTCCCCAAAACCACAATCCACGTGCCTAGCCCCGCATACGGTTAGCACG